GCTCAGCACCCACCCAGCCCTGGAGCTGGCACTTACCTCCGCCAACAGCACCTTCCTCCTGCAGCTCCCCCCGCCAACCAGGTTGGTTGGCAGCAGGTCCCCGGTGGGCCTCAGCAGCCAGCACAGTGGGCTCCCCAGCAGCCAGCTCCACCCCTGCCTGGGCCTCCAGCTCAGCCTTGGAGCCAGCCAGGGGGGCCCTCAAGACATCACCCCCCGCCCCATCCATGCTCAGCACACGGGCATGTGTTTTGGCGCTGGCAGTACTAGGCGTCCGCTGAGTCCCATAGGGCCGCTTAGGGGGCACAGCAGTCCCTTCCTCAGCCCCATGAGGGGCCCGTCGCTTCCGAGGACCCCCTGCCGCGCCCCGGGAGCTCTCTGGGGAATAGCAGGACGAAGAGGAGCTGTCGGTACTATAGCGGCGCTGAGATCTGAGACTGGAGGCCGGGCTCAGCTCACTGCCCTCGCTGGTGTCTTCATCTTCAAAGAAGCCCCCACCTTCCAGCAGGGGCCTCCGAGGGGCATGGCCAGGTGGGGAGTGTCTGCGCACGGGTGGCCGCCGTTTGCTAGGCCGAAGCAGGGCCAAGTCCTTGGGCCGCACAACCAGGAGCGGCTCAGCTGGGCCTGGTGGTGTCCCTGCTCCTATGACTGTGTCAAAAGAACGCAGTGTGTCATCTGAGGGGACTCCAGCATCTGGTGAGGCTGGCAGCTCAGCTTCAGAGGGTGGGTCTGTGTCGCTGCCCTCAGGGGCTTGCCCACCAGGGGGGCTGTCCAGGTGGGTTGAGTTGGTCTTCTCACTCTTGAAGCTGCTCAATGTCTCCCTGTCGGTGCCACTAAAGCAGGAATCTGAGGAGCCAGCTTTCTGGGGCAGGGGCTCCCCTGAGCCCCGCCGGTCCAGGGGCTGGTAGCCACCTACTCCCCGGCGTTGTTCCCGGCGACTGCTGGTCCTCACCAGGGCCCGGTCAGGCCGAGACAGGGTCAGGAAGCTCTTGCTCAGCTCCTGGCTGAGGCTCCCCTTCAGTAGGGGACTCATAGGAGTGTCAGCAAGGCTGCTCCCACTCCAGGGGACTCCATCTCCAGCCAGGGGAGAGCGGTCGGAAGAGTCCGTGCTGGGGAGAGAGGGGTCTGGGGCAGCGCCCAGGGGCGTCTGGGGAAGGTCTCCAACTGTCAAAAGAAAGGAAGGCAGGTGAGTGACGGACGCATTGCAAAAGGAACATGTGGCTCAGGGATCTATGGCCCGTGCTTCCTCTGAGAGCCCAGCTGGGGTAGGACCCTGAGAAGGCCCCATCCAGAACAAAGAAAGCACCAGGGAAGCCAAGTTGGCGTGACTCTAAGACAAGACAGTCTTCCCCAAGCCCCTGCCACAGTAAGCCCACTCACTCAGTTTCTCCTGTGAGCTTAACTTTAGCATCTCTCGATCGGCTGAGGTCACGATCACGTTGTTGCTGCCCTGCTCCCGCACCAGCTCCTTGATGTCTGCAACCATGGCCCCAAAGGCATCAGGAGGACCCCAGGGCAGCTGCCCGCCACCCCGTTCCACACCACCACCTTCAGCCCTGAGCAGCAGCCACCTACCTCTGAGGGGCCCGGAGTCCTCCATCCGGGGAAGCAACTCCTGAGCAGATGGAGAAAGATGTGAAGGAGCAGACAGGACAGGAAGTGAGCCCAGGACCTACCCATGGTGGGGAGGGCTCCCAGGAGAGGAGTAGGAGAGGCTGAAGGCTGGGATCACTCACCGAGACCTGGTTGAAGCCAAACACGGAATGCTGGGAGCTACAACGTACTGGGGGGGTGGAACTCACTTTCCGAAACACTGTCATCTCCACTCCAGGGTCCCTGAAAGCGGAAAAGAGCATCAGCTGTGAGCTAACCTACCCTCTTTACATAGTACTTCCTCTGCCTTCCCCATCACTTCTCACTTCTCAAGCATTCCTTCACAATTCCAGGGCCAACCACAGAACCAGGACTGACAGCTCATGGAGCCAGTGTTCCCTAGGCCCCTCCTCCGCCCTCCAATGCTCAGGCCCAGGCACCAAGAAGCCTTCCATCCCCAACCGAGCCCCGCCCTGCCCCGCCCACCTGAGCAGATTGCTGTCCCCCTGGGCAGGCTCCTCCTCCGGCTCCCCCAGGGTCGAGGTGCGCTTCTCCACAATCTCGCCCTGGTCGAACATGGCATGCAGCCGGTAGTTCACAGTCTTGATGGTAGTGAAGATGACAGCCACCACAAGGCAGTACACACCGGCCACCATCAAGCTGGGGGGCAGGACCTGGAGATGTCAGCAAGAGCGAGTCAATAGCCCTAGCCGCGCCGGACGCTCGGACTCACCCATTCGCAGGAGGCATCGCCATCCCTCAGTGAAACTAGTGAAAATGCCTTGCCGGGGCCCTGTCTCCTAACTCAGGAAATTACACGAGGTGCTCAAGGTCACCAGCCCAGCAAAGGGAGGCTGTGACTGCTTCTCCACGCGCCCCAAACTCTGCGGAGATTCCCCTCTGGCACCCAGGGCGCCGCCCCGGACCCCTGCCGGGCTGCCAACCCTCCGCGACATCCGCCTTCACTTTCGCCGCGGGAGTTACAGGTCGGCGGTGGCCGTGTCTCACCATGTACAGCAGGAAGGGGAAGGTGAGCAGGAAGATCCAGACGTAGAGGTGGAAGCAGTTGGAGAAGGTGCTCTGGTGCGGGTCGAAGAACCAACCGCCGGTGAGCGAGGCCCACACCCCCTGGCGCAGGATCTGTAACACCTGCGACCC